TTCAAAGCGGCCGATGAAAAATGCACCGAGCTTCAAGAGTGCCATTGCTCAGAAATGGCTTTAAAATGTTATTTTATATAGATATCGTTGATAAAAACAAACTGTTTAAGTATGCTAAGTTAAATCATGTCACACATGGTTCAGAGAATTGGTGTGAAAATACAATGCACAGGTTGAATAGAAAAAATATAATTACTGATAATCTTTTTTTTTGCTGTCACTGAGAAGAAAGGGATTATTTAAAGTATGGCCTTCATGTAAGGATAGCACTTGTGATAACAAGAACTATCATTGAGATTCATTTTTTTTCCCTTCAAGGCTGTTAAGTTTTACGAGAAGGTAAATGTGATAAAAAAAGTATAATATAAATTAATATCATGCGTGAGGGAGTAATGCAGGAGTGATGGCTGCTCTGTCCACTGGTCCATGGAAGCTGAGTTTGATTCTCAGCCACGGCACACATCACCAGCAGGCGATGTACGTATGTGGAACTTCTTTCACACCATACGTCGCCAACCGTATTCATCGGAGGTGCGAGTGATGTCAGAAGGAGGACGCCCCCCCCCCCCCCCCCCCCCCCCGTTAACAACCCACACCAGCCTGCCGCGGTGAAGTAGGACAAACAACCCCCTTGACTGAAAGGCATCTATTAACAAGGGCCAGTTAAAAAGATATATAATTTATGGAAAGATATGTTAAATAAATCTAATAAGAAAAATGCTCCTAAATTCATTGAATACCGATTATAAGTAACAAAGTAGTTGGTGCACAATGGACAACTTCTGAATTCAGACACAAAAAGGCAGATGTTTAAATATCAGATGTGTGCAGGCATTGGGCTCTCTTTACGGAGTCCAGCAAAGGAGCGCACGGTTCGTGAGCAGGAAGTGAAACATTGCTCATTAAACACCGTTACGAAAATAAACACGGCAAGGTCACTGCCAAAAGCTACACGCGGGTGTTTAACCAGGAAATCTGCACACACGTGCGCTCACACCTCAAACACAGAGCCTTTAAAGAGCTGAGCACCGATGGGGTCTAATTCAACAGAGCGCCCTGGATTTTCTCACCTTTGATTGGTTATAAAGAGTGGAATTTTCATTTAATCATTCCGTAGCTTGCACGGAGGGGAAATGATTTATTTCTGCACGCTATGTATCATCTTTTGTTTTTTTTTTGCGGTGCACAATATTTAAAATGCAGTCCTAATGAGACTGCTTGTCACCGTGTAACAAATGACGTAATTTTATTTGAATAAACAAACATGCGCCGCAATCAAACAAACCGAATAGGTATTGCACTTGGATGCATGGATGACAAAATACTCACAGAAGCCACTGGCCTCATTAGGGCAGGAGAGTGCAGTCTGTACGGAGCACGAGGCCCTGGCGTGATGAGGTGGGGGTAGAGAGAGGAATGAAGAGGTGGTGGTAACGATGAAGATGGATAAGGTCACGTGAGGAACGAGGAGCAATTGCTGGGCTGGAAGTTCCATTTTATGTTGGCGAGAACTCGCGAGACCAGGATGACTCTCACGCGCAGGAGCGACCTGGGTCATGAATGACGAAAGCAAAGCAAATAAAACGTAAAGTACAGCAATGGTGCAGAACACAAGTCGGCGCAAACACGACCACGTCTCACGAGAAATGGAAAACATTGCACGAACATGAATCAATGTTAAATTTTTATTTTCCCTGCAGCACAATTCAACTCGGGGAGATAATTTTTAAACTGATCATAGTACAATTGCAATGAAGGTTAGTTAGAGGTGGTGATGGTGAACACACGATCGAGAAGCAGTGGAAGGTAGTAAAGGATGTAGAGGGGCAGGGAGATGGAGATTGTGATGATGAGGTTCCTATAACGAGGTGACAGAAGGGGTAGAGTTGTGAAATAATGGAGGCATTGGCAGGACGTGGTGGTGGTGGTAATAAAAGGATGCGGGAGTAATGAGAAGAGTGAGAGGTAGTGAGAGGAGGTGGAGATAATGGGGGGAGTGCAAATGATCCAGTAGCTGCTTATGTTGGAAAAGACAAAGTTGCCGCACCAAACGATGTGCTGCCACTGCTGCAGCAAAGGTCAACGTGGGGTCATGCGTCATCGTGAACGGATGACGCCGCGCTTGTTTCCCTTGTTTCCCCAGTGCCTTTCTGGGGGACGGCGTTGCAGATGATGTATCCAGCGGAGGTGTAGTCTCTTTGCATTTGAGTTCACGCGTGCGTTAGCTTGAAGTAGCCTTCATGCGTCGTCGTTGAAGTTGCCACGCACGTGTTGCGTGCATCACGTGAACTCACGTACTTGAGTGAGACCGCTTGCTCTGTCGTCCGTATTTTGTGTTTACGAATGCTAAGCAGAATTGAGCCCTGGCTAGGACTTGAATGGGAGCATGCCTAGGAATACCAGGGGATGTAGGCTAGGGCTGCGAGGTGACCAGGGGATGTAGGACCCCTCAGAGTGTTTTTCTCACTATGTGTGTGGGTTTTCTCTGGGTACCCCGAGTTTCCTGCCACATGGAAAAAACCGTGTGAATGAATATGCAAAAAAATATATCTTTCCGTGGTTTTTCTTTACGAATGAAGGGCATTATTATTATCACTGCCCGTGCACTTTTAGGGGATACACAGGCGAGGGGCAGGGTGGGAGCGGAGGGTGACGTTATCACCATCGACATCAATGTGCCCCCCTGTGCACCAGCCAGCCAGCAAAACTTTTCTTACATAGTAGGATATGTTCTTTTTGGTGTATTTTCGTGTGCCATGCCAGCCCTAAGAGGTGCTCGCAAACAGCGTTTGCTCAAACAGCCTGTGTAGGCTACACGGGGATCTTTGTCTTTGTGCATTGTATCACTTGTGATTCCCTCACTCGAATGGAGAGGCATCTCTGTAATATTGCAAGGTCGCGTGCAAACGACATGAAGAACATTTTTGGACAAGATTGCCCAACGAGTTTCTCCGCACGTGGCCTCGCCTCTCACCGCAAGCGCACCACGAACAAGGAGATTTGTTGCCGCTCGTTTCTGCCACTCGGCACATTCGACGTGGACGCTGTTATCGTGCACTCGAAATCTCGAGCTACGCGGATTGAAAGCCCTGGTCTGGACACGATTGCTGCCGCTCGTCCGCGCGTGTAAATCTTGACGTGGCTCGCGATATCGGCTCCTCTATGGTTTCCCGGCCTCGCCTGGTGAATGTGCCTTTCGAGAAAGACCCTTAATTTGCCGTTTATTAATCGTGAAATCGTGTTGGTTCAGCACCACGCCCGGTCCCGCCACGGCACGGCACGCAGGGGCTTCCTTCTCAGGAGATTGTAAAGTCTTTTGGGCTCGTTAGGTGAAACGTTTAGTGCGTTAAACGTGATTTAATTTGCGGCGGGGAAAAAGGCCGGAGAGGGGCTCAGGGTGCCACCGTGGCTTTCATGAGACCCGGCACTTTAATCACATCCGACAGCCAATCAGGGAGCCTGCACAAGTGCCTGCGCAAAGTAATTAATCTCCAGAAACGAAAACAAAGAAGTTGTCAAGGTTTGTTTTTACAGATGTTATTGATTCTGCCACCGGGTTAACGATTTTTCTTCTCGCTCGTTTTCAAGCAAGAGAAAACCGAATTTTGTCAGAGTGGGCCGTGATGAAGAAGAGTTTGATTTGTGCAACATTTAATTGGCGTACAAAGGTACAATAATAATACACTTTTGTGAGCAATGCATTTTTTAAATGTTTTTTTTAAATGGGTAGTTGGTATCTAGGCAGTGATGTCACTACTGTGTGTTGTCGCACCAGCCCGATAGGACGTTTGATTAAATCCAGTAACTTCATCTACCGCGCCCGGAGGGTCTTTACGTGGCAAGACTAAAAATAAAACTTGCTGCGAATCACAAAAGGTTGTGAAAACTCATTTCCCCTGTCTCCTAACGCAGAGTTTAAGGCCAACGATCCTGGACATTATATCCGTGTTGTTCCCTCGGCTCAAGACCTTAATGTGCGAGGATGGCGTCGTTATCAACAATAAGTCTTATCACAGCGCCAGGAACGGGTTGTGCTTAACCGCCGAGGCCAGAATTACATCACAATGGGAGCAGGCTGCCCTCGTGTTCAACTGGGCTGGGTTGACGGTGATTCAGGGATGTGTCGGTTTTTTGTTGTTGGTTTAGATCGCGTAAATATGTGTCTTAAACTCACCATCACTCGACACAGCCCAATCAGTAAGGTTTGTCACGTAAACAAAACGTGCCAATTCGTTACGAGTTCAGCACTAACCGGTTGTGTTTTTGGAGCGTAAACCCACGACGTTTACAATGTTAGGTCCGTGACGTTTCGCTGGTGGCTACTTCTGCGCTTACAATGCTTGCGATGCAGTGCGTTGGGAAGCGGCCAGGAATGCACGAGGAGCTTTCTGCACTCCCGATCAATGCCATCTGCATTGTAAATGGGCTTGCGTGCACACGTGGCCGTTAGCGTCATTATCATCGTCGACGTCGCTCTTTACTCAGCCAGCTCCTGCCTCGTTGGCATTTGTGCCGAGGTCTTCATGCCGGGGCATCTCTTTGCCGATGGTGACAATGCTGCTCCAACACTGCCGTGTGACCTTGTTAAGAGGCCTGGGGCTGGGTGGGCGGGGGGGGGTGGCGTGGGAGGGGAACGTACAAAAACTCCGTCAGTGATGATCACAGTTTAAACCAAAGGTGCTCTTTAAGAGAACGAGGAACGATGCGATGCGCTCGTGTCTACAGTGAATTCTGCGATTGCTCTCAAAACCTTCCGCGGCGTGACGCCCAACCCGGGGCCGACCTTGCACAAGAGCGAATGCTGTTTCACTGTCTCAACTGTTTTTCATCTCCTGGTGAGATAAAGGTGACAGCAAACAACAAACATGAGGGTGGATGAGAATTCGGCGTGGCGGGGGGAGGGATGCTGAGCGCCCTCCAACACCGTGGGGGACTTGGGCGTTGGTGCTGAGCGTGCGTGACGCCGTGCGTGACGCCGTGCGCTCGCGCTTCTGTCGCAGGCGCAGAACTCGGCGCTGTCTCTGGAGAACGAGAACCAGCGGGATCAGTACGAGCGCTGCCTGGACGAGGTAACCCCCAATCGCCGCTCGCCATCGTCGCCGCGCAGCGCCGCCTCCCCCCCCCTCGCCCCCCACCCCTCGCTCACTCGCGGTGCCGAGCCGGCCAGCGGCGCACGGCGGTGTGAGGGGGGCGTGGAGCGACGCGTCGATTCGACCCTGAAAATAATCCCGAGCCCTCACGATTCGCGCGTCAAATTGTGTGCGCATGAGTCGATTGTGTTTGATGCGTAGGCGTTGTATGTAATCGGTTCCCGTGGGGGGCCCTGCAGCCAATAGAGGCGCTACGTCTTTCACAATTTTACGCGCGAAAAACCCCAAAAGGACTTAGGTTGAATCTGATCAATGAATCGTGACAAATCGTCGAATCGAGAGAGCGGTGGGAGAGTCGCGACGTGCCGAGTGGGCAGTAAACAGCAGAAGGAGCTGCGGCGTCGCAGGGTCCATATCGGTAAATCTCGCTCACCGTGAGTTTTCTTAATCGCCGGTGGGCATGTCCGCCAGGCCCTTTCTCACATTAACCCTCAGCCCGGGGGAGGCCGCCCACACTCAGTTAATTGCCCCGATGCAGTGAGGATTGTCTGTGGGGGAGGAGGGCGAGAGGGGAGAGGATGGGCGGGCGGGCGGACGGGAGGGCTCGGGGCCTCGCGACGAGCGAGGCGCCGGGAGCGCCGTACCGGCAGGGTTGTCGTCACCGCTGCCGTCGATTAGCCTCCCGCCGTCTCCGCGGTGCCGAGGTCACGGCCGCGGCGAGTTTGACAGGGCCCGTGCCGGCCGTGCGGCGACACGCGGATCGCGGGGGTCCCGTGGGGACAACGACGATCACAGGGCCGGCGGCTTTCGCTTGCGCAGAACAAAAGCTGTCGCGGTTCCAAACACGAATGAGCCTGTCGCACATAAAACCAACGCGTTGCGCGTTGATATCTTGCTGCGGTAGGAGGAGGAGGAGGAGGGCAATCGTCAAAGTATTGTTTGCGCGCCAATTGGGACACCAAACTAGCTTAACACGTGACCTTTTTTTGCCGCGAGCGTGCAGATGTCACGGATAATCTGTTATTATTCAAGGATCATTTGTAACTGTTTGAAGTTTTAAATCCACGGCGGCCAGAATGTCAGCTGTGTTTTTCTGAACAAGTTTTAATCTGACTTGTGGATCAATAGCCATTGAATCTCAGATCAATAGACGTTGAGTCGTACCTCTGAATAGCTGGCGTTGGTCTGGCCTCCTCCCTGCACAGTTTGACATTCAGAGCAGCTGATATTTTTGGCGCTGCTGGCTTTTTCGCGGGAGTGGTGGAGCAGACGAAGCCTTTGTCCAAGTCCCCTCCCCTGCGTCGCGTCACGGCGGCTCGTGGCGCTACCCCGCCGGGCAGCGCCTCGCGTCCCCTGGTGGGCCGTGGGTCGGCTTTTGTCATAAATATCACAGGGACCTATAAAAGGGAATGCATAAACTATATATATACATAAATAAAAGTAAAAGCAACACAATTAAAGCGAGGGGCAGGAGCGGAACTGAAATGCCAGGGTCATCCGGAAAAATGCCGTGCAGTCAATCGCACCGCGCTTGCTCGCCCGCCCTCTCGCCTGCTCTCCCCCGCACCGAATCGTGTTGATGAAATGTTATTTTTGTCCTAGCGTGCGGAGTGGTGGTAAACTGGCCAGTGCGCTGTGCTGTGAACCAAGTGACCGTCAAGTTTGATTCCCGGCCGTGGCAAACATCAGTTGTGAATTAAATGGGAGCCGGTCCTATCCTAACCAACCTTCAGCAACTCGCGCGTGCCAGCATGGTGAAGAAAGGTCAAAATATCTCTGTGACCGAGACAACATGAGGAGTCCTTCATCCATTGGTGGATTGAGAATGGCTGGAAGTTGGGAATGTGCTGAGGAGCAGTGTTCCTTTAAGTTTCCTCCTCGTGAGCCGGGCAAGTCTAAGCCGTTCATCGTCCCTGTCGCTCTCGCATCCACATGGCAAATTCAAATCCATTGGTAGCGTTCGATTCACTCACGTGCTGCTGTGGTGTGTTTCGCCGCAGGTTGCCAACCAGGTGGTACAGGCGCTCCTCACACAGAAGGTGGGTGGGTATTTGCTGACCCTGCGATAACAGATGCTGATGTAACGTCATCGTAGGGTGACAGTTAACTCTGGGCCCTTGGCTTTTTCGTCCTTTTTGGCCTGTGGCACAGCAGCTGTGATTTAAAAAAAAAAATCACAAATACTAAAATAGCCAATGTGTTTGGTTTGCTTGGTCACCTCTGAGTTTTCAAATACATTTTGTAAGCAAACTAAAATCCACATGCGACTTTAGTTTTTTTTTACATTTGTAATGCGTGTTTGATTGTCTCAGCCCTAGTCACCCATGTCTGCTAAAAAAAAAAACCTGAAATAAATATGGCGTTTAATTGGCCTAGCCCACCTTTGAAGACTAAAAGTCATAAATATGTCAGATGAAGGATAAGAGGCCTGTTGAAGTGACACCAGAAGCACTTCTAGAGTACCATCTTCCGGGGCCATTGTGTTGTTAATGAGGCCTTGGCTTACCGTAAGACTTCCAAGAGAATGTTTCTTCAGCATATTATTTAACTCGGAGAGATTGAGTTTGAATGTTTTCCTGTCATATGGGTAAATTTTTTCGGGATTTATTTCACCAGAAAACACACATCAATACAAGGACGAATTTTGAAATATAATTGCCAATCAAATTTAAAATATTATATTTTTGAAGCACATTGAAGAGCAATGTACGTGTTCATATTTTCACTGCAAGTGACATCAGGGTACAGCGAAACCTGGCATGTAGTGGTGGCACTCCCCATAAGCAAGTTAAGCAAAGGTCTAGGGCCACAAATAAATCAAGGGCCCCAGGTGTATGAAAAAATAGGCATACACCAATTATCGGCTCGAACTATGATCCCTATAACATTTTAAAATAAACGCTCATTAAAAGAGTGCTTAGATTTAAGCGCACACAGAGGTGTCCATTGCATGTACAAAAGCTCTCTCGACCTGAGAGTGGTCTAAATATCAAAATGGCCACACATTGTGCACCTGTGTGCAATGTGTACCTGTGTGCATTGTGAAATCTGTGTTTACAGCCTGCTTCAAATGTTTCAGTTGTGATGGATTTTCTGTTGTCATGAACAGATTGGAATTGCAACAACAGCGTTTAAAAATAAATGTTATTCCAGTTATTATTACATTACACTAATTATATCACACGGGTGTGGTATAATTAAGTAACTTGTCCACGAGGTAATGTTTGCAGTCACGTGACACACCCACAAATCGTGTCTGCTTAGGGCCTTCAAAGCCCCGTTTCCCGGGGTGCACGCAGCAAGACCTGGGCACGAGGCTGTGCTTCGTGCGTGCGTTGTTCACCGCCTTGCGCCTTGTTCACCGCCGTGCGCCTTGCTGTGTGGGGTGGGCATGGCGAGTGGCTCGTGTTGGTTCACTCCGCAACACCCCCTTCTAATCGTTCATGTCCGCACCTTCGCCCGTCCGCCCATAAACATTTCTCTTGGCGTGCATTGCCGGCAGATCTGCAGTGTGTTCCTCTCGCCGTTGTTTATTGTTTTACCGAGCTCTCACGCGTCTGCGTGACACGACAGAGCGCATCTGCGATGGCTTGCTTGAATGTGTGACTTCCCCGGCAAGGTCCAGGGGCTTCATGAACTTGCGTTGAATTGGTGTAGAAAAAAATCATATATATTTGTATATATATGGAGAGACCAATGTAAGAAGAAGATGTATTGTTTGTTTATTTTGTAATTTTAGTTTTTATACCTACGTGACTTTACCGAAAGAACCAAAGAGTATAATTTTTCTTGTGTTTGGTAATTCGTTATGCCATTTTTGAAGGTTGCATTATACGTGCACACAATGTTTAAATAAATAATACTTACACATATATATTACAGATATATTATGGCTGCTTAGCTATATACAAAATCTGCATACATAAAAATACTAAGCTCCACGTATAACATTATAGTCTGTTAGGGAAAGTGCTATTAGTGAGCACCTATTAAGGCATGCGAGGGTTGATGTAACCAACACCACCCCTGGCTGTCTTTGTCTTCCAAGTGCTGTAGTGTTAACACTGTAGCACACACGCATACACCTAAATAATAATGATACCGAGAGGCACGTATACATTTATATATATATACATTTATACATACATTTAAACACGAGTAGATACTCGCCTGCACATGGTACGTATATACAAATCTATTAGGTTGCTCTCGCGAAAGACGGGATAACATTTACACGTCACGTACATTCGCGAAGGTTTTACAAACCCTGGCGAGGAGCTCGGCGAGCCCTCGGTCCGTTTCACTCGGCCCCACGTGTGGCTCCGGAGCGGCCGGCCCGGCGTGCGTGCCGGGCGGGGGTGGGGGTGTCCCTCGAGTCCCGAGGAGGCCGCGGGATGGGTCTGGTGACCGGCGACGCGCCCTGGTCTCTCGGCAGGACCTGCGCGAGGAGTGCCTGAAGCTGCGGACGCGCGTGTGCGACCTGGAGGAGCAAAACCGCAGCATGAGCATCCTCTTCCAGCAGAAGCTGCGCCTGCCGTCGGAGGCCACGCTGCAGGTGAGGGCATGCGGTGGTGGAGTTCGGTGGGCTCACGATTCACGCCACCGAGCGAGAAATGTATTGATCTCTTCATTTATTCACACTTGCCATGAAAAGGCCCAAATGTGCGTAGCAGCAAGCAAAACAACAGCATTTAAGGTGTCATAGATAACAGTTAGTACTTGCATTGAATTAAGCGAGATTGACAGAACTTGGGAAAGCAGATGATGGGAGGGAACTTGAAAACGGAGCAGTGCGAGGAAGAAGCATTGTGGTGGTAGAAGACAGTGTGGCGGATGAGATGAAACAGTGAGTCTGGTGGACCGAGTCCTCAGCATTTGTGAAGGATACAATGAGTGACATTCGTTGGAACAGTAGCCATGGTATTAGTAGCGAAATGAGAGCGATAAAAAGGTGACTGGACGCTGGTGATCGAGTGAATGGAGTGAATCAGTGAGTGCTGGATCATCAATCAACATGACTGCTTGATTGTGTAGAGGTGGAGCCTGGAGCATTTGTTGAGTGCAAGTCCCCACTTACACAGGCCCTGAGGTATGGCCATAAGGCAGCACAGCAAGTAGGATTGAGTTTGGGTGTTCTCCCATAGCAGGTTTAAATTTTATTAAAGGACACGATTTTCAGCTGCACAAATATATACGTATATATGTACGTGTAGCGTATAAATAATTTGATATGATTATCCTGCATCTGAGTCTTAAGACTTAGTATGCTTTTATTAAGTGAAGAAATAAGCTGGTGCTGTGCCATATTTTAGAAAACCTTAATCCCACTACTTTATGGTGGTGTTACATTTTAAGGGCCTTTCATTTGTGTCGTTTACTTCACTTTTTGTGGTATTCAAAAGACCATCGTTGCGGTGCACCTTTTTATTTACCGGTGGTGGTAATCTGATCACAGCAGCGCAATTGCATAGTGGTGAAGATTGGGAATGAAATAAAGAGGGTTTTTTAAGCATAAGGCGGATGACGGAGCGGTGTAAATTACGCACGGAGGTACGCATTAGAGCCGTGAGTGGCTGTCATTTTGGTGCTTCCCATCGAGAGCGTGTGATGTCTAATACCGCGACGGGGAGAAAAAAGAGGTCCAATTGAATTAACTTGCCACCCCCCCCCCCCAGCAAAAAAAAAACACGCAGAGACGGCCTGCTCATTTGAAAAAGCCTAGATAAGAGTGACATGCTCCGCAGAAGATTACCCCGCGTATTAAATGGCACGGATCTGGCGGAAAGCCATTTCTCTGCGCCGTGCGCCGTCGCACAATGCCCGCCCGTCTCGGCTCGGGACCCTAATGAATCGCGCTGTCGCGTTTGTGAATGGCGCTGTCGTGTTTTGAATCCCCCTGCCCGTTTGATGGGCCCACGCCGGCACGCTCAATAGCACGGGCGTATTTATTCTTCGCATTTGTTGACTGTAATGCAATAATGGTTCCTCGCAAGGTCAGAGCCGTGTCGCTGCTCAGTCATTCACGCCGCGGCCGCGGCCTCCGACGGGAAGTACGCCCGCCGCATCCTTGGCTTATGGATTTCCGTGTCGCCGGTGACTCGTAGGGAAAACAAAAGAGCCACTGAAAAGGCCATTGGAGCAAATGTAACCGTGTTATCTACTGGGGGCTTTTCTCAAATTGTCATGACAAACTACAATGGTGTGTCCAAAAAGATCGAGTGCACGCATTTTTTTTCTTTTTAGACTGTCAAAGCTTCTTTATAGGAGGTGCATCAAGCAGGACTGTTAAGCTGCCTGCAGCTTGTTTACAGCAAGGCCCTATCTGCTAGTACGTGTCTGTGCGCCAAGTGGGTTAATTTAAAGTCGTTTGCGCGCCCTGTACAATGAGGCGGTAACTGTGCCCCACTTTGTTTGCGTGTGCCGTAGCCACAGCGGACGTTGACGTGAAACCAATTAAGCAGAGAAAACATAAACTGTGTTTGCTAAGGGGGGCTAAGGTTGTATTTTAAGCCAGTAAGCCCCAGACACGATGAGAGGGCTCTAGCCACGAATGCCAGGCGTATAACACGCGTCCCAAGCTGTGGTCCAATCGATCAACGATCCTCGCGGACCCCCGAGGCCACGAATCCCACCCCCTCCTATGCCCCCCCTCCCCCCCGCCCACCCCAAGAGGACACTGCGATGACCCTCTCCCAGGGCCCAGAGACACGCTTCCTTCTAGACGCTCTCTGCCTCCAAGACCGCTTGCGGCTGGGCAGATGGTGCGCGAACGTGCGCTGCGTATTGTTTCCCAATCTCCTGGGTCTTAGAATTTCACGCCGTAATGACCGGTGTCGCCGTCGGCCTCTGTGGCGCTGCGACAGGCTCTTAAACAATGCGCCCCGTGCCTGCGGTGGGATTTGCGGACCTCCGCGGTGCACGTGCCAAAGCAGCGGCGTCGCGGAGAGAAACGCACTCACGGAAACGAGGCCATTTTTTAGGGTCGCTAAACGCGCTGTAAAGAGAGCGTCCGCTGGCCTGCGTCCCCCGGCAAATAAAGACATTCGTGTAGAGTGGAGCCTCCACCACGCCTGTTCGGTTGCACAAAGACAGACAGACGAATAGGGGGACTCCGCCGACTCGCGTCAACGTCAACCGTTGCGTTAGCTATCGAGTGTGCAGTCTGTGCAGCTGCACCGGGGCCAGGCCTAGGGTGTCGGGCTAAAGTACACTCCTGACGTCGACGTGCCGCGTCGCTCTGCTCCAACGAGCAACGAGACGGCGCTCATGCTCGTTGACGACCGTGATCCGTTGGTGCAAGCTGCTCGTTCTCGTGGCGGTGGCGATAAATGCTGTTGGTGAAGAAGGTTTTTCATAAGAGCATTGGCCTGCATTAAAAGTAAAGAGTAAATATGCGTGCGTGTACATATATTACTGGAGCGGTGCTGAGCACACTGGGCGATGAATCTCAGCCATAGCTTACTAGAGTAGCGCGTGATATCTGAACAGGTCTTGACCCCCCCCCCCCCACCCCTTCATCAATCTGCCCTGACCAGCTTAGTGAAGTATGGTCAAAGAACCACCCGGACCAACACTGCATGCGGAAGCATTCATCCAGCAGTGGATAGACATATGGCAGTACAGTAAATTATTCTGATTGTTTATACGTATTATAGTAAATGTAGTGGTCGGGGTTTACACACACGTCGTAAAAATAACTAAATGAAGTCTGCCCCTAATAGCGAACTACTCTACAAAGCCAGCAAGCTGAGTTTGCTTCATGTCCACGGCTAGCATCAGTGGCAAGTGAACAGGGTACATCACCTCTCCTAAAAAAAAACACCTCCCAGTATTATGAATGGCTGTACATTGTCGTCCTTGTCGTTCTTGTCGCATGCAGCGTTGATTTTGTTGAACACTGGTTTAGGATGTCCTTGCGATGGGTTTTCCTGCCTACTCCTCTCTTTCTGGGATTCCATCGCATGATCAAGGCAGCCAAGGTCACACGGCAGTATTTCCATTTTCATCTGGTGCGGTGTGTGTATTAGCAAGTCGTCGCAATCAAAGGTCACCTCGCTCGCTCGCGCACGCACACACACACACACGCGCGCGCACACACACACGCATGTACACACACACACGCATGCACACAGACACGTGCACGCACCATTAAGAGGGTCTTTATCACCTGTCTCCAACTAATCAGATACAATGTCATACTCCAACACACTAATATTCCCTTCATCGTATTATAACTAGGAGGTGCATGATTGCCAGACTGATGGGTAACGCCTTTGGTTCCTCAAAGACGTGCCTGAATGGCATTCAGCCTTCTTCATTAAAAAAACAGAAACAAAGGTTCCCCGTATAGACACACAGGCTGTTGGGGCAAGTGCTGTTAATGAACACTGATAAAGGTTGTCACAGCACGCGAGGAGGTGTGTGGCAAGCACCACGCATGGAGGCCTTCATCTCTCCTGTGCTGATGTCTCCACATTGCACCAGGTGCTCATTTATTATTAAGTTGACCTAGGGGAGGCCCAGGACCGGTTCAGATATCACCACTGAGTTTGGTCATGAGAGGGAATTGAACTCGTGTCGCTGGATTCATAGCACAGTGCGCTAACCACTCCGACATCCCTCCCCTCTCACACACACACACACGTGCACACACAAATGCACACACACAAACGCAAACGAACGTGCAATTGTACGCGCGCACACACACACACACGCACCAACACTGATTTCTACAAGCCCACGCACACACGTGCGTGTGCGCACGCACGGACAAACACACATCAGCAAGCGAGCACCTGGGGAGCACTTGGCGGGCCCAGTAAAAGCTGCTTACCCCGGTGCTGACAGCATGCCTGCTTATATATCACACAGCTGTGCCAGGAAAATGCTCCTCTGCTCACATGCTCGCAACCTTCCCACCTCGCGGTAAATCCCGACCCTTTAGAGCCACCGGAGCCATTCTGCCGATGTCCCAATTTACAACCGCAGCGAGGCTTTGACGTCGCGGTCACACTGTGCAGACCCCCACACACACACACCACCTCCCCCCCCCGTTACTTATGCTGAAATGTTCAAGGCTTGTTTTTGGGATCAAATTAATTTGACCGATTGTTTTTATTTTGAAACATTTTTGTTGTTGTTGTTGGGTTGTTGATGATGATGCTCTTTGGTTAACCAGAAAATCCTCACGGAGTCTTAAGAACCTCTTGCAGGAGGGGGGGTCCAGCATTTTGTCCGAAGTGCCGATTCCATTGCTGAGTGGCAGGAAAATAGAGTTCTGGGAGAGACCACACCTCATACGGGGGGAGAACCAGTGCCTGATCATGCCAGTAGCACAAATAGCTACAGATGTAGTAGTTACGGGCCCCGCACTTTCAAGGGCCCCGCGCTAAATGCTTTCAAGCTATCAATTCCGGTTCAGAGATTCTGCACTTGCTCTATTACTATAGTACTATACCACCTTCAACTTTTATGAGCGACTGGGTGTTTAAGGTTAGCGATTTGTCGTATTATCTGGTTGTTTCACAAATGAAAAAATACAAATACTCTACTATG